TGCTGAACGGTTAAACTGCAAAACTTCTGTTTATGGTTGCATGTGAAACGTGGCTATACCTGGCTGTCTGATGTCAGTGCTATAGTTTATAGCTTTACTGTGCTGCAATCAACAGCTCTCCGCAGTCTCAGCCTGTCGTCCCCATCCCCACTCCATCCCATTGCGTGGGTCAGCATTTCTGTTCTATTTCTGCCCAAAACTTTATTCTTACCCCAGATTCTCCTGCAAAAATGCACAGCTTCTGGTTATCACTCTCACAAATGATGATAATGAGGCAAAAAGCCCTTTGCTTTTCTTAACCTAGAATATGTGCTGGAAATGGGGGTTATCAACTTTCACAAGTTTATACACTTTCTCACATGCAGTTCTCTCTCACAAGCAGTTGCAGGGATGACACATCTATACTCCAAACTTGATGGGAAAACTAGTTTTCCATCTTTTTGTAGAGAAAAGACCTCAATAGAAACTTACTCATTCCACTTCCATTCAGCTGATTTATTTCTGTACTAATATATTTCCAAATCCATAATAATAGCTTGACACAATCTTGGTTGAGAATTTTGTTACCCACACTGTCAAACCTAGGGAAAATCCTACTTCAGATCACTTAATTTATTGAAAATGTCTCTATTTTTATTCTCCAGCACTTCTTACCAGTCACCGACTGCCAGTTTTCTGCCAATTGATTCTTAAAGTTGGAAACTTTCTGAACTATGTAAGTAAACAGATTTCTTTAATTGTTATATTTCTAAAGATAACAGAAAATACAAATGTAAGACTTGGCAACTGAAGGAAGGAACTTTTTCTGTATCTTCTAGGGGCATCACACTGGAGATGCTGGAGGTTTTAAAATTAGTACCTTGCTCAGACTAACAGAAACAAAAGCAAACCAAAGGCACATTACTCTGCTTCACCATATTTTGGAGGTACAACAATACTGTGAAATTGTTCCTGTGTGCATTATTCTCAAATATTCATTCCCCAGAAACTAAGGGGCTTTAACCCCAGCAGCACCCCACTGTAGATAGCTGGAGGATAAGCCTGAAACACGATGAAAGCGTTTCCACCGTGCTCTGTGCAGAAGGGATCAAATCCCTATGCAGTAATGCTTAGAGAGTTAACACTGGGCTTCCTTTCTCAAGTTCGCTTAACATGTCTGCTCGCTGTTGTCTTTTCTCTTGTTCTCCAACTGCTCTCTCGTGTTGACACGTCTCCCAAACAGATCTGTCAAATGAAATTAAATTTAGTGGCATGAAGACAAAATCTCAGGTCGGCTTGCGCACTGTGGCATCACATGGGATATAAGCCTGAGCAGTAAAAAGAGCCTTCTGCTTTCTTTTTAACTCCTTATGGGCGCCAACATGAGAAAAAGAATGACCAAGACTAAATTTACCCCTACGCTTATAAGAATGAAAACTGAAGTGTGAATTTTTCAGTCCTGATGTTGTCCGGCTGAAAAACTTTGACTGACTGTGCAAGGTAACCGTTTTTCACTTCAATTTTAGGAGGTTGAAAAAAACCATACAGATCTGCTGCAGCTTCCCACGGATCTTGACTTTGTTTCCAAGGCAGCAGGGTAGGACATTATTGTTTGTTTTTGTCATGTATGAATTGCCAACCTCTCTAAAGCCAAGCTGAGTCACTTTATGGTGGTGTAATAAGGTCACAGGACTTCTCTGCTAACACCAAACAGTGGTGAGATTTATAAATCAACCTGGTTAAGAATTTTTATGTGGGGCTCAGTGTGATTTTTTTTTTTATTTATTTTTTTTTTCTTTCGGATGCTCCAGTACTACCTTAGAAGCAAAACTGTGTAAGTAGTGAACTCACCCATTTTTAAGGATTGAATTCTTCTTCCACATATTGCAGTAAAAACAAATCTTCCCTGAAATTTCTCAGTCATATTCATGTGCAAGCCCGTGGGGAGGTACATTGCCAGAGCTGGTGTAAGGAGGGAATGATTGGGGTGATTTACCCACAACTGGGGGACCTCAGGAGTCCCTGAGCTGAGTATCAGCACAAGTTTCTAATATATGTGGGGGAAAAAGTAAAAATCTGTTTCTGCAGACTTTCCCCCATGTGCCTGAAAGTCTCATGAGTCTAACGCCAGCTCTTTCTGTTTAGCTCAGAAGAATCACATAGAGATATGTGAAATTGCACTAACCAGAATCCACTTTTTTTAGCACCAGGATTAACATTTTTTAATCCTGTTATAATAAATACATAGGAACCTCACAATGTTTTATATTTCCTTGTTACGAGAAGCAGGGGTAACTTTTAAATCTGGAGATGGATTGACATTTAAGTAGCTGCTAAATAATTTTTTAAAGTATTTTTATTCAGTAATGAAACAGAAAATATGATGGCTTTTGCAAGTTATCTGTGGAGAATTTAAGTTGGATGTTGTTTTGAGACATGAATTTCTGTTTGGGTTGTGTCATGATAGAAATGCTTTTGTTCCTTGAAACTAAATCTTCCTGGTCAACGATGTAAGTGTGCTCTTTTTTATAAAGTCATTGTCCTCCAGTTCAGTCAAACTCTTAAACTTACAAAACTAGTTTGCTAATCAGCCTATGCAGAAGTGCTTACAACACAAACCCTGCAAGGGACTCTTCTAATGCTGCTCACATCTGGATGCACCGTGACACATGACCTCACGTTTTGCTGATTCAGTATTTTTTTGTCTGGCACAAAGAATAGGTCAGAACCGTAGAATGCGTTGGTTCAGCAATGTAACATGTTTGAGTCTCCACATGAGCTAAACGGACTCTGAGAAGAGATACAATTTTGGACTCTAAATAGATTAGGAAGAAAAGGCAAGGAGGGAAAAGAACCAGCTAAGTAAGCACAAGGGAGATGAATGTGTGTTGCCTACAAGTAAAAACAGGCTGGAAATTTTGGAGGAGTTTTTGACTAGAACAGTGAGGCCCTTCCACAGTCTGCCCAGGCAGGTAGTGAGGGCAAAAGCACAGATTCTTTCTTAGATGAGGGTTTGAGCACATAGAAAAGGATTTATATAGAGGAGAACTACCTGCAAATGCAGGGTCCAGGTTGGACAATTAATTCTACATTCATTTGCAAAGATGATACTGTTTATAATAATCTTTTAACTTCATGAAAACAAAAGACTCACCCCTTCAATGTACTGTCCCTTTTGTGGACCTTTCAGAATCCACTTTGATGCTGTGCAGGCTGAGGCAGGTGCCAATTTGAAGAGACTGTTGGAAATAGAGAAGCGTTTATTTTTGTCGACAGACGATTTAAAAATACAGCATGAAAAATCTCTCCAAGTAGGTAATGTGGGTGTGACACACTTCCCATCCTTCTTCCTAAGCACTTTAAATCTCTTCTCAAAGGCACTGTAATTCAAGTTACAAATGGACATAGACCCCTATGGGAAAAGGGTCATAACTCCATTCCCCCTGTGCCCTGGTGGAAGGCGCATCCCAGATTTTCCTTTACTTCTGTAATGTGGTATGGTGATAAGGAAACAGCTGAGAACCAGTCAGCTCTGTGTGTGGGCAAAAATAAAAAGGAAGGCCCTAAAAATGCAATGTAGGACACAACTATAAATGTATACAGTGTAGTACAGAAGCATGTTTCATCTCACTGTTCTTTGGGGGGAAAAAAGGGAACAGATTTGCAATATGCTTTTTTTTTTTTTTTTTTTTTTGCACATATTTCCAAATATCCTAGCTTTTCATGTTCTCAAAGCAGGGTCACTTAACTAAAGCTAAGAGGTAAAAATTGTGGTACTGTATGTCCCTTGATCAGCCATCCCGGGTTGTGCCAAATTTCCATGTGATTGTATGACGAAAGTGGCAACATACAATGAGCTGCTTTGGGCCAAATGAAACCAGGGGAAATGTGGATGGTTCAATTAAGAAGAAAATAAATATCACACATTTTGAAGCAATCTTAATTGTCAGTTTTTTAAAAACTGATTGCTCTGTGTTAACTGGCTTGAGTCTTCTGGGCAGCTCAGAATATGCTCCTTCTTAATATGCATAAATTGTGTTGCAAACTGTGTCTCAGGACAGTCTTGATGCTTCAAAGGACCTGCAGAAGGAGTTTGCCACCATTGAAAAGAAGAAGGAAGAACTTGCTGATTATCTTTGTGAAGATCGAAAAAAATTGTCTTTGGAAGATGTATTTAGCACAATGAAAACCTTCAGAGAGCTCTTCCTCAAGGCCTTACAGGTGGTTTGCAATTTGACTGCTTAGAAATAGATTGAGAATTATTTTTTTTTTTAAGCAAAAAAGAATTTCTATTTTCTTGTATTCCAAACTGAGCTACCTAAACCCTGCCTGCAGTAGTAAATGAAAGTGTTTATTTGCTTGCAACCTGCAGCAAGCAATGAGCATGTGGGCAAATATAAAATGTGATTTATTTTTCTTTCTATGGAGAACTAAGAACACTCCAATTTCTTGTTCCCACTGTAAAATTATTAATCAGGCCTCAATGTAATAGCACCTTAGTGGCATGGGAAAGTATTAACAACCTGACATGCTTTTTATAGGCTTTGCCAATAGGTAAAAGGTAAATTTTCCAATAGGCAAAGCCTAATTGGAAGAGGTGTTCGCACGTAGGCATTTTATTGTACTAGTTAGTTCAAAACAGTATGTTTATATTTCATTATATTTGGCACTTTCTTAGTTTATAAGACTTTAGTCTTTGCAGTAAGGAGTAAGAAACAGCAACTTCACCATAAAAGCTGTATAGAGCACCTTCCAATTAGTAAGCTTCCAGTCAACATCCATTTTGCGTTCCCTGCTGCACACCTGAACTCATGTACTTCCTCTATGGTTTTCCTAATGTCAGGTGATTGTGGCTCCACGCTTATATACTTTAACAGCAACAATCACCCACTCCTGTGCTGACTCCAATAGAGCCCCAGACTGGATTTGCCTTCCACAGAATCATCCACATTACAAGAAGTATTGCAAGAATACAGACAACTATGCTGGGCAATGTCAGGGCAAGAGAGGGTGAAGGAGTGCTTTAGGGCAGATCCTAGTTTCAGATCAAAACAAAGGAGCTTCTGAGGAAACGTTGGACAAAAGATGAAAAAGATATCCTGTAATGTTCCCACTACCTGCTCCTTCTGTGGGGCATTTGACTTCACTTTTGCAAGCAATAGAGCTACCCAGGCTCCAAAGCAATGTGATAGCATCACTGACAGTCTGGAAAATAAACCCTACAAACCACAGATCATTTGGCAATACACTTGCCCTTGGAGTTCCTAAAACTCTAGGCAGGAAGGAAAGAATTAACAGAGTCCAGAACATCATGGCTCAGCATCTGTGGAGAGCTGCATGGGAAAATTGCTGTGAAGGGTAAATCCAGTAACTGCAGATCTTTTAAGAAACAGTCCAAATAAAGGTTATGTAGTGTCCCAGCACAGCTGCAGAAGATTTAAACTACTTTTTTTGGATGCTGCTTGTTCACAACCAGGCTGGCCCAACTAGAAAGAAAGCTTCTTTTTATCTACCCAATATGTAAACTCCCTGTCATCCTATTTTTGGTTCCATTTCTCAGGAGCACCTCACCTCAAAGGTACCACAGCTGTTAGCAACCTGGTATGCCTCTCTGTTACCTCCACCGCAGACCTGTAACGTAATCTCCTCTCCCTCCTTGCCTTGCTTTCTCCCTATCACTGTAGTAAAGATACTATCTATGATTGAAACAGCAACATGCTGAAAAGTTTAATTTTTTTAAAGCATCTTTTTGTTCTGTGATTTTGATTTTTACACTAGAATCAGCCACGTGCATCGTCTCTTTCCAGTGCCGTTTGACATAAGCTTTAAGGCTAAGGTGTAACTTTTATTTTGAGATGAGTCTTCTGTGTAAAGCAGGTCTCTTAGCACTACCACAACCGTTATCTTTCCATTCTCACATCAAATAGGAAGGGACGTAATTTTGACAAATAGTGATCCTTCATGGCTCTTAAGCTTACCAGAGAGATTTTGGTTCTGTTACTTCTTTGTTTAAACAAAATCATCTCCCTTCCTCAAGGGTTCTTTTTGGTCTCTTGTCCTTCAGGTAACAAAAACTGAGCTATGCAAATGAAATTACTATAATAAGAATCAGCCCTATTCTTCTCCATCTACTTGAAGAGGTAGAAAGGAAAAAAAAAAAAAAAAAAAAGTTTTTCAAACACTCAAATGATTCCCAAAAACTTGACACAGTGAAAAGGAGCCGGTTCGCACCCAGGGCTGATGACGTTTCACCAATTCTCAAAAAATAAAAGGAGCAGATGGCAGGAGGAAGGAGATGGAGAGAAAATAGCTTCCCAGCTCGAAGTTAAAAAAACAGAATTGGAGATGCACTGAGAACTGAGTTGTAAAATTGTGGGGAAAAGAAACACTCTGTGATTATAGGGGATTGGGAGAAACATTTGATTTCCCTTGGCACTTGCAGCTGTTCAAAGAGGGGAGCTCCCAACAAAGAGGCTGACTAATTTCAGGAAAAGGAGAAAAAACATTAAACAGAATCTGCTCTAGGAAGTACTCAGCTGATGACAGAGGTTATACAGACAGCTCTGCAGAGGGATAGTTCCTCTGAGCACTCCCCTGGGATAACCAAGCTGGAGCAGCTGCTCCTCAGTAGGGTGCATATGGTGTTGGAACAGGATGTGCTTTAGATAGTGTGGGGATAAACAGTTGTCCTGGAGCATCTTTTACTTCAAAGATCAAGCAAGTATCTAACGTCCCACAAAGTGCAAATCCCAAGTGACACCCCCCTTTCATTCAATCTCACCCATACAGCTGCTCAGTAATCCAGGAGATGGAGAAAGGACTGTGAATGTTCATTCCTCTGCCTTGCTACCGCTTTACCTTGTTAGGCTTTCTTGTGTTGAAGAAACTCTGTTAACAGTGTATTTGCATCAAATCGTTATGTTTTGGTGGGTTTTTTTTAATTTCTCTGAATGATTCAGTTCAGGCTTGCTCAATCCATAAATTTATTCCTAATGTGTTTTGGTTTGTTTTCAGTACAGTGTGTGCTGCTCAAGTAGCAGAACAAAGTATCCCCGAATTCACCTCCTTTATTTCTTGTGGCACGTTACATAGATACATTCTCCCAGGGCCCACAGATCTGCAAGTCTCTCAACAGCCATGATATCTCAAAGACATTTTTCTAAGGCACAGC